GTTTGATTACAGAAGATAAATAATTAATAAGTAATAGAACGAATTAAAGTCGTATACTATTAATGCCATAATCATACTCGTGATTAACAAATCAACTGCAGTACAAATCAACTGCAGTACAATTAATGATTTTCCCAAAACAAACAAAATGGCGGAAACGTATTTTAAACTCAAGCGTGAAATGAAATTGCCGTGGAGGAACTAGATGAAAATACGAACACAAGCACCAAATTTTGCTTTAACAAAAGAACTAAATGAAAATACAAACAAAAGCACCAAATTTTGGTTGAAAGTCTCGCAGGACTGGGCTTTGGCGAGAGAATATGATGCTGACATTGAGAAGTACGTATCCAATTTTGTCATGCTAATAATAAACAAGTAATCATGCGATGTTGCTCGTACACTTAGGGATTAATAGTACTCGTGATGTTTGGAAATTTGCCAAATTGGACTCACCCCGGCGGCTCGTCCAATTTTGGCAAAAATTCCAAAGATCACTCGTACTATTAATCCCTAATTGTACTCGCCATCGCATGATTACCTATACTTATTTGTATTCTTTTTATAAAGAATACTAATTAGGAGTGTTTTATCAGGCTTTAAAGCCACTGCACGTGTCATATATTATGTTTGACATGATTTGCAAATAAGCTTGTGAATTATTAATGAGTGTTTGAAGTATATATATGCTTGTTCTGATATTTTTATATGCACACTAGTAATATTTAGGACGTTTTCTCCAAGTACAGCAGGCTCATATTTTCAGCGAACCTCCGATGAAAAATTGGAGGCCTTGCGTTTTACACAGAGCTGCCATTTTTGGAGTGATGTCCGCTGACAATATGAGCCCACACGAGTGGGGGAAAATTTGCTACATATGACAGACCTGGTGTTAAATAGGACATAGTCGGGCTGCCTTTGATGTGATCCACAGGAGAAAAAGATCATTATTGCAAATTCTGAGTATAATGGGTTGTTTCAGTTGTCTCGTTCATGCAGATATCTTGCTCATGCTCAGATAAGGTTTACTGCAATTGCATCCAATAGAGCTGTAATTTCAAATGATTTTTCGGTTCAAAAATTCCCTGATTCACATAATTATTTTGTTTACTTTAGATGGTGAAGAAGAGGATGGCCAATTGAACCAGGTAAATTAAAGCCATAGTCAAGTAACTGGATACCAGGCCAAAAGCAAAAATGAACACAGAAATTAACCCATTTATTCTAGGTCTTAAAGATATTCCATAATTTGATGTAGCATTTTGAGAAACTGTCATATTTATTGCACGAAGAAGTTACGACTAGTTTAATTTTCTATATACAATTATAGGTAAATAATAATGTCCTAGAAAAACATTATTCCAACATATTACCCCTCGCAATAAGATTGTCCAATCAGAGAAGTTGTTTTCCATCACATGACCATATTATCTTCAGGAAATACCATATCGTGGGCATCTCGTACCGCGGGTCTTTTCGACCCGAATACCGCGCTTGAGGGGGGAATATGACTTTGAATACCCCGCTCCTGCCCAGTCAGTTGTCCAATTTCATCGGCCAGAAACAGCGGAATCAGCAGAGGTTGAACACGAAATAAATAATGAACTTAGGAGCTTATTGGCCAGCAACGAAGGGGTATTTCGGGCTTAGCCCTTAGGATATTTCATCATTTAGGTGCTCGTTGCTCCAGGTCTATGACCGATAAATGCGCGAGAATGAAACTAGCGAATATTTGTGACCACGTCTGTACTAATGTAGAAGGTGACATTTTAGAGAAGAGTCTAGTTACTTGAATATGAGCATATCTTTTGTACGATCTAAGAAGTAACTATATAATAAAAAAGTCAGTTGACAGAGGTTGTTAACTAAGCGTCACGGGGTTGGGCCCATTCCCCAGTCAACTATAATTAACCCCTAACTCTAATCTCATATAAAATAATCCATTTGCGACTTCTTGCTAAGGTAACTAACGACTCTGACGATGGCTGCGATGAACAGTTATTCTGGAATGGCATTCCAAACAACGAAGTGTGGGATAACAAAGGCTTTGGTGATAGTAGAGAGGATATGAATGCAAATGTTCAGCAAGAACAGTCGGTTTCAACTAATGTACAAACATGTTGAGGTAAATACGTGTAAAAACCGGGGCCTGTTGTATAAAAACCCAGTGAAAGTTAACTACAATTAGCGTTACCACCCGTAGTTATATCCTTAACTGTAGTTAGTTAACTATATGACTTAACTGCGTTGCACAAAACGTAGTTACTTGGGTAGTACTAATCACGTAGTTAACTGTGTGTGAGGCTTTATTAAATTAAGTAATGGGTGATTAACAACCGCTGACAAGCATTTTTAACATGTTCGTGGACTCGCATTCTGCTAATCCGAGAGAATTTGATTCAAAATAGTGGAAAATAAACATTCCGTGAGGTGTCACGTTAAAACGACGTGTAGCTATTTGGAAATTATATATCATGTTTCCTGGTGTACTGGTCTTACTTCGTGTAAGCGAAATTGATTTTCCCGTGCAAAAAATTTCACCAAAAGACCAAAGCGATATAGCATTTAACAGTTTTTAACTGTCAGGACTAACATTCGTAGGGATGGTATAGCGATATATTGACAATCCCTGGTAAGTATTTCTTTCCATTACTGAAAATACTATTCACTCCTAACTGCAGCACCATTTTTAACTACGTTTTGAGAAGTTAACGACACCCTTGCGCACAGTTAACTTTAACTACTTTTTAACTTCTTTTTAACTGCTGTTAGTATAATCGACAATTGTGGCCGATGATTGATCAAGCGACCTCGGATTATTACGCGATAATCACCTAAGCGTTTTTTTCAAAATGGCGGCGAGTGGTTTTGTCGAAGTGACAGATGAAGAAATAAGTTACTAATTTTAAAGAAAATACTGTACCTAAAAGCACGAAAGAAGTGACAAAATTTGGCTTAAAAGTATTTCGAGATGGGAAACTACGATGCAGAATTCTGCTTAACTTTATTTCGCATAAAACACCGTTTGATTCAAGTTGCCGTACAATATATAGTTTAGACATTTGTTTACGTTTGTAAAAAATGCATTTTCTACAACAGATTGGTTTCAACAACAGTCACAATTCACAAATGAGTTTGAAGACATGAATATTGGCGGAATAAACAAATGTTTATCAATATTCTACGTTTCTATAAGAAAAAGTGATGGAAATTACTACAAAAAAGCATTCTTGATGGCGATATGAGCGGCTCTGGATATAGAAACCTAACGTCACCGCCGTACGAAAAAGATTGAAATGTGTTATATTATTTTTTTTCAAATAATCGCCTTTGTAATTATACTAAAACAATTATTCGCCTCAGGCTCGGTGAATATCGCTGAATAAAAACCTCGACTTCGTCTCGGTTTTTATTCAGCGATATTCACCTCGCCTTCGGCGAATAATTGTTAATTAACCCGACACTGAAAATAGGCATTTGAAATGACAATTATTTATTTGCAGTTACGCTTCCCTCCATCATGCAAGTTTGTCTATAATTAGCGCCAAATTTAACCAATTCATGATCAGAAGAAATCACGAATATTATATCAATATTGTACTTCCCTACTAATTCACATGTCACGTCGAAATTTCGATGCCCGCCAAGCATGGAGATAGAAGTCGTTACCTTACCAGGGCTCCCGAGAGGGGAGGGCACTCTGACCAAGGCCCCCAACTCAAACAAGGCCTCCAAAGCAGAGAAGGCCCTTAAAAATCCTTAGATGCATTCGTTAGTGTCGGATAATATGTAATAAATTGTAAATATATACTGTATTGTAAAACACCGCTTCTCCCTTTTTAGAATTATGACGTCATAGGGGCCTTTTGGAAAGTTTTTTCCCCAGGCCCCGCGCAACTCTGGGCGGCCTTGCGCATTGCATTCGATCAAAATGACGACTGTTGTATCTATCATTGAACTATAAATAAACTGGAAGGCTAACTCAGGGGGGGGATTGAAGCCTGAGTGGACTGAGCTATGAGCAGAAATACTCAACACTGAACGTTGGGCTACATATCAAATTGAAGCTATTGAAAAACGCTATTTGGTGTAGAACTTTCAAGACTTTAACTAAAATGGAAATATTGAAAAACTACAAACATAATTACCGATAATTTGCCGTTTTGCAGTTGTTTTTGTATTTTTTAAATATTTTTCTTTTCGCTGAAGTCTTGAAATTTCCACACCGAATAGCAATTTTCAATAGCTTCAATTTGATATATAGCCCGACGTTTGGGGTCAAGTATTTCTGCTCATAAGATCGGAAGAGCAGTTAGCCTTCCAGTTTATTTATAGTTGAATGGTATCTATACGTATAGCAGGAATGTTTAAAAGTTCAAATTTCCTATAATTTCATCATTGTTTTCTTGTTCTTTTTAAATTTTAAAATTTTAGTAGAACTTGAAAGTTCTATTTTAAAATTTATTCCAATTTGCATTTCATTTGTGTGGTTTGCAAATTGTTTCTTTCTTTTTTTTTTCAACTCGAATTTATTATTACTTGCCAATTTTAGAAACGTTTGTATCGAAATAGTTCATAGTTGCATCCATATCGCTACCAACGAAGCTTGTTTATACATGAATTGAATGAGACACCACACAACTACGCAGAAATATAATAGGCAACGTTATTTCATTTGGTTTAACCCTCAGTATGAGTGCCAAAACCAACACAGGCACAATTTCCTCAGCCTAAAGGTCTGTTTACACTTGCATTTTTTGCTGTGAGTTCTAGAGCGATTTTCTTCTTCTGAACGATGTGAACGAGTAGACGAATTGTTAATGTTCTGAGTATATATATGTACCCTCATCTGAACATTCATAACGCATCCACTCGTTACTTTACATGCATCAGAAGAAGAAAATCGCACTGAAAATCGTACCTAAAGTGTGAATGGGTTTTAACTGACAAACATTTTCCACGTACAACCACAAACGTCAAAAACTTTTTAACAGAGACGCAGTTATATGACACAATGTAATGTCCATCATTATCGCAATAATGTAATAATGCACGTATAATTAGGGATATCAACCACGGAGCCACCATGGTGCCAGAGGCTCTTTGCGAGGCGAAATAAACGAGAAGGGAGAACGGAGAGCGTTTGGTCACATCGATTGCAAATCCCACTTCCACACTTGATTAGATTCAGAATTTGAATCTCGCATGTGATTTGCCATTTGTAAAAATATGTCAAATCGGTTAGGGAAATAAACATTACTGTAAGCTAATTATAGCCTATATTAAAATATTCTATTAAACTCAACCGCATGAATATTAATAGGCTACACCTATCTCCTGAGAAATTTGATACTTTTTCATAAGAGTATTTTTAGTACTCTTTAGCATTTTTACAAAAGTTCAAAAGTCTGATTTCGACCGGGCACTTTATCTAATTGAATCGTATTTGGCTCGCAATTTTGATAACTTTATCTTTCCTGCGGAATCTCCGAAGTGTTGAATCGGCTATAATTACACTATATATAATTACATAGATTTAGTTTATTGTTGAATGATATTTTTCATATTGTATGAAAAATTTCATTAAATTAAAAATGACTCCTTGAAAAAGAGTTCATAGGCGTCCCCACGAAGGGCTACCATTTTAGCTCTTTAGAAACTGCGTATTAGCTCCAAAATTCTGCGAGACAGCCCCCGGAAGTGCATATTATTAACCACTGATTCCCAATGTATATAGGATCCAGCAATTAAATTGACTTTATAAGTGAATTAAGGTTTTCTTTTCATTGCTCTTGTAGAAATGAGGATCGAAATTTACAAGATACACAGTTCAACATCTGGAGATCTCTGCTCGTTCGTCCTTATCGTGGGATATTAAGTTAATTAGTCTTTTTCATAGAATACTAAATTTGGTAAAAGAAAATACCACATTTTATATGCGTTGGTATTGTATGTAGTGTGCTCGTGGCGCATAAGAAAAGATCGGCCATGCTGTTCATACGTTTAGTCTTAGATTAATATTTATTTCACGTAAACATGCTTATTGTATATTAGAAATGTTTTGTCAGATTTGCAGCAAGTCAATCGTACGTATATAAGCCTAACAAGAACGTGAGCTATTCTGCTAATTAACAGTATACTTTAAATTTAATTTCGTGCTTAATTCTGTACTTTAATTTTAAAAACTCATGTTCATCTAACGTTTTCGTATTCGTAATATATATAAAAAAATCTTAGTATGGGAAAATACATAACTATACAGACGGTACCATTTCTGCCATTTGGGCCTCAACGGGCATGTAGTGCTGATGAGCAGGATATCATATATATATATATATATATATATATATATATATATATATATATATATATATATATATATATATATATATATATATATATATATATATATATTACGTACATATATACATGCATGTTTCGGCGTTCAACGCCTCCTCATTGCAGCGTGGTTACACGTCTAGATGCATGACACAATCGTATTTATACATATGACCGTGCTCTCGCCAAGCGCATGTGGTACAACACGAAGGCATCGACGCATCTAGACATGTGCAGAGTGTAATGGGGCCAGAATGCTCAAGTGGGCTTTGCATTTTTGTGTTATTATTCACTCGGTAATATCATAAGGAGAAAATATTCTTGAGTGAGATATATCATAATTTCCAGACAGCTCGCAAGCAGACAACTTTGTCTGCCGCTGCTGAGTTTCGAACACGCGACCTTCGAATTGCTAGATCGATGCGCTACCGACTAAGCTACACGGTCAGGACGGATCGAAGATGGAAATTATGAAGTAATTCACAAACACAGGCATACTTTTATTTCGTTTGATATAGTTTTCAACAATGGAAAACCGTGGATCAAAAGAGATAGCAATAGTTAATTACTCGCTGGGGCACCTGTGCCTAGGCGAGTATAAGTTTCGGCACGCATGGTGGATGTCTGATGGCGGATTTGCGATCGTCGTTGATAGCCACAAAATAGAATATTAATGAGCTGCCTAATAAAACCCAATTTATCCTTTTCAAAATTAATGGCGGCCTTTCGTGGAGAGGGCAAAATGTTTCAAACAATTTCGTTAAAATTTTCAACAAATTGTATCTGTTTTCTATGGATTTTGCATTGTGTCTAACTCTGGGCATTTTTGCTAGTTTAGTTAATGCATTTTTCTTGGTGCATTACTCTGAAAATCCGAAATTCGGATCGTTGAATTCCCGTACGTGCACGATCATAATTAGCCTCCTCCGCAGGCATCTCATGGTACTTATACCTAGAATCGGTTAGATGCCTGCCAAAACCCGACATGGTTGAGCCGTTCTGCGTATCTTGCTTGCGCAGCGATTTTGTCTCTAGAGTATGCACGTGGGAGGGATAATACGGTCGCTAAAGGCGGCTAAACGATTAACAATTCAGCTTTTTTGGACAATTGAAAGAATCTTAACCCGGAAATTAAAATTGTCATCAAATGATTGACATATATTTTTGTATAAGCTGCAGATGGAAATAGAAATCTTGTTGTAATCTTTTAAGTACTATATAAAGGTAGACTTTGTGTTAATATCACAATGAAATGCATTTAACCTCATATAATATTTTTTGGATCAATTAGTTGTTTTGTGTTAAATAATTATTAATGTCTTTCTGGTATAATTATATAAAATAGTACAATTATCATGTACAGTTAGTTCATGGTTGTGAGAAGCAGGACAAAATTGCTCTACATAGAATGTGTAGAGATGTAACAAGATAAAATATATTTCACCATGATAATTGTGGACCCAGTGTTAATAGAAACCAAGGCAAGAGCCATATTGACTTGAGTGAAAAAGCCTTCGTCTGGTGTTTGGTTGTCAGATACGCCAATCAGTGAAGCAACATCCAAGCTAACGCCATTGTCTGAAATTTAATATTAGCTGGGTTCACTAACTATATTAAAATATTTAGTACCTGCAACAATAACGTTGTAGATGATTATAATAATGTATTTTTTTTATTCCAAATAAACATGTTGAATTGTCAGGGTTTCCATGCAAGAAACTAGGTGCTATTTTGCATGTCTGAGATGGAGATTAAGGTGCTGCATCCCAGAAAGTGTGGACAGCAAGGTTTACATTGTACAGTTAGCAGCTTCAAGGCTGCAGCGCATGGACAGGCAACCATTGGCAATGACAACATTGATCAAGCATGTCATAACCTGCCAGATAAAATAGTGACGTATTGAACATGGCCAGCATTCTATTCTGCTGACATTTTATTTACAATTTATATAACATGCTTCTATTGGATGAAAATAGAAAGAAATGGGATAAAAAAATAAAGTGTAAACTGTGGTCCATGCTCACAATTTCCCTGCGACTTATTTTTTAAATCACATCGCCTTTTATCAGAAATTGCATTACAAGTTGCAGGTTTAAAGGGGCAGTATGATCAAAAATTTTATTTTCTTAAACGAAAGTGCTTGTAAAACTGTATAATAACTTGTTTTGAAGATTTTGGTTCCATGTATCAGAAACAACCAAGAAGGCTGCACCTCGTTTCTATTTCTTGAGACAACTCAAAAGAGCAGCCACTCCAACTAAGGAACTTCTGAAATTTTATACTACCTGTATTCGCCCGATCTTTGAATATGCATGCCCAGTTTATCACAACTCGCTACCCAAGTACCTATCAGACGACATTGAAAGGCTGCAGAAGAGAGCTCTAAGAATAATCTACCCTTGGATGCCTTACACTGATTCCCTCGAAGAAAGCGGTCTGCCTCGCCTCTTTGAACGCAGGCAGCTATTGACGTGCAAACTGTTTAATGAGATCACTCGAGATCAATCTCACAAACTCAGACCTCTACTACCATCCGAAAATAACTGTTCATACCAACTGAGACGTAAAAGGCAAATTAACGTTCCAAGGGCCAAAACTGATCGGTTTATGAATTCTTTTATTGTTAGTAATTGTAAATATTGTTAATCATTAGGTTTCTTAAATTTTTATAATTGTAAAGTTTTAACACAATTCAGCCATTATCAGCTGTAAAGTCTTTTAAAACTGAATAAATCATCTATCTATCTATCTATATCCATGCTTAGTTCTTGAGATATTTCATTTTGTTTGTAACCATGTGACGTCATCTACTCATTTACATATATAATGATATATCAGTAATTGTTGTGTATCCTGGCTATTTTTATCAAAATATTTCGAAAGACGCGGCGCGTTTGTTAATTTAACTTGCATCATTAAGCATACTGTGTTTTTGAACAAATCGATCAGAAATAGCAGAGATACACAACAATTACTGATATCTCATTATATATGTAATTGAGTAGATTACGTCACATGGTTACAAACAAAAGAAATATCTCAAGAACTAAGCATGGGAACAAAAATCTTCAAAATAAGTTATTACACAGTTTTACAAGCATTTTCGTTTTAGCTTTGGTTTAAGAGAACAAAAATTTTGATCATACTGCCCCTTTAAGACTTAAGATGGCAAATAACTAAATCATTAGACCAGGTTGATGAAAAATAACTTGAAAGCTTAGAGTGGAAAAAGGAGAGCAAATTGATATTTCAAGTACTAAACAAAGTAACCGGCGGTAAACCTTGTAGCACCTGTTGGAGCTCCGGCAGCCACCGGCTTATTTTGAAAGCCCTGGAGTATGTTGATGGGCGAGCGGCATACATGACCGACACAACTCTGCACCATAGCTGGCAGAGCAGCGCCCTACCAGATCATGCTGGATCGATCCTTGGATTATTTACATGGAGGTGTATCTCTTTTGGTGGCGTAAAGGCGTGTTTTTTGTCAATTTTCAAGTGACAATCCAAATTTTTAGATGGCTGTCAAAAATTTTAGTCAACTGGATGGCAGGCTGTTAATACCATGAAGTAATGCTGTAGAATAATCTTGAGCGTAACATCTAACATAATACAGCAACAATATAAATTGTATAACTTTGCTTGATTTATAATTATTGAATATAAACCCTTCTTACATTTGGTCAATTTTTAATTTTTTTTTTTTAATTTTAACAAATTTATTTGGATCAAATTATTACAATATAAATTCACTAACTAGAAAAAAAACGGACTATATACAAATAATTGGATAGCTATACTATATATTAGCGAGTGATCCAAAATGGCAAGGTACGAACGGGACTCTAGAAATTGGACCCATGCAAGGCACCTGCCAGCGAAGTCACAAATTATTAAAAAAAAACAATATATATGTTGCCAAAATTACTATGAAGGAGTGTACGAGAGAGAAGAAAGAAATGAAAGAGGTGTACAACAGTTGCTTGCAAATTTCTGTTTCAGCACAGTTTACTCAGCGTTTTTTCATGCTGTACATGTACTCAACAAATCCCTGAAATATGTCTCGCTAAGGTCTAAGGAGCAATGGTGCTTAAACTTTTCCTTGAGTTCCGTAAGGGCATCACAAATGTCATTTCTCTGTTGGTCAGTAGTATCTCTCTTCCTTAGTGGCTGAGGTGCTTCCTGGTCTGATACAAGATCTTTTTCAAATGGAAGATTTGAACTACTACAGCTATCACTGCACTTGGAATTAAGGCAGCAATTGCTGCAACAGTCATGAAGAGGTTCTACAGGCACAACATTAGGAACAAAAGGCTTTAAACTTGCCACACGATAGAATCTTTCTGTGCGAACAAATTGTTTAACATCATCTTCACAGTGAGCAGTCTGGTTGCCATGGTAGATTATTATACTGTGGGCATGCTCTCCATTTCGACCTGCTCGTCCTGCCTCTTGATGATAGTCTATGAGTGTCCTTGGTGGCCCCCAGTTAATCACATAATGTACATCAGGAAAGTTAACACCCATACTCAGCGCTGTTGAAGCAATTATAATTCTTTTGGTATTATCCCCAGAACCCTTAAATCAAGGAAGAAGTCTTTTCTTAGTAGCAGCCCAAGTCATGGAATGGTATATGCCAGCAATGCAGGATCTTTCACGATCTGCATAATATATATATTTTCCCATTTTTAAAAACAAATAATTGCAGACGGAAGCCATTTCATTCATCATATTGCAGAATATGATTGTTTTTGGCATATGCACCCCTTTTTCCAAAGCTAAGTCAATCATCAGCCAATCCAGTTTTCCAAATATTGCGGTCTTTTTGCACTTTGTCACTGAGATGCGTAAATTCTTCCTCTCTGGACTGATTAATAGCTTCACTGGTCATGTAGTGACAGCAGACTAATAATAGTACCCTGGGTTTTCTTGTCAGCAGCATAGGCGTACTGGACGGGGGACAGGGGGGGAGGCAGCTGCCCTCCCCCCCAAAGATTACAAAGTCGAAAAGTCGGGCAAATGTTCAACATAAGTCGGGCGAAAGCAATAAAGTCTCTCTTAATAATAACTCTAGTTTGTTGGGCAAACAAAGCCAGTTGGGCAATATTCGCTTCACAGTCGGGCAATATTGGGTTATTATAAAAAGAAATGGGACAAATTCTGTCAATTTTGCGGGAAATTATGTCAGTTTTGTGATGTTTGGAAATTTGTTTGATGTTCCGAAAAATTTTGGTACGTCCGAAAAATTTTTGGACCCCTAAAACGTTACACTGAAAGGAGGTCGCCAAAATTAATTGTTCCGGAAAAAAAAATTTTCGGCACTGGTCGGGCACAATCCGAAAAAGTCGGGCAAATTTTTTTCCGCCCCCCTAATTTTTTCCTTCCGGTACGCCCATGGTCAGCAGTGCCAGTTAGTGCTAGGAATGGTGTGTCTGCAAAATTATATTTTATATTAAATGTGGTACCATATCTTATTATGTACTTTACTAGAAAATACATGCATGCAGAAACCCTCGCCTTGCTAACAAAACCGTTGTATTTTCCGAACATGAAGTATCTAAAGTATAGTTGTCATGGTAACACGATAATTTTTTAAGAATATTCTTACAAATGAAAATCGCCTAAAAATATCACTTTTAATTACAAAATTATCAATTTCCCAACATATATATGTTAGGTATGTAATTATACGTAATACAAGCTTCAATTTAAGGTAAAATTCAACCACAAACAATTCACAAAACGTTGTAAAGTGTTCTTTATAAAACTAAACTGCCTTTAACTATTAAATGGCTTTATCGATAAACTTTGAGTTTGCAATAAAATGATTTCAAATTCTCGCTTGCAAATAACTTTGCTTTATTTTTTATTTAAAAAAATCAATATAATAAAAAAGGGAATCAATATTAAAGATACACTGAAATTATATGCTGTCTTCTTTAATAGTTGTTTCACATATGCAAAGGCCGTCGGGTTTTAAAGCCATTATAAAATCAATATTTAAAACAAACTTACCTTCTTTAACGTCGGCTCCCTTCTTTTAGCTGATTCTTTCGCCCTTTTTTTCTTGAAATTTACAAAATCTTGCAGAAATACGAGCAAAAATGAAGAATATTTGCAAGAAATTTATCAATCATTGACTCATCAAATCAAGAAATGTTTGCTATTTCGCTGTCGTCATGCAGTCGTAATAATGCAAACTTAAATTGGACCAATCAGTGTCCGTTATTCATGACAGTCCGCCATATTTTTGAGATCAGTGAGGATGACCACCCATCGTTGGTGACCGACGCCCGCGCTCATTGATGAACTTTAGACTTCGCTAATGCTTTCGTTTCCCCGGGTGTAAATAGCCGGGGGAATTAGTACCCTCGCACGGCGCTTCGCGCCGCCGGGTCGGGAACAATAGGCAATTCCAGAAAAGATTCTCGCTACCCCCACAGATAAGATTTCTGCTACTCAGATGGGGAGGGGAGTATGTACTTTCGATAATGGTAAATTTACTAGAACGTTGAAGGGGGTAGCATGGTTAATTTAATACACCTTAATGGGTTGACCAATATTCCAGCCTGCATAGCAGTCGCTCAAATAAAATTCAAATCTGTGCAACCCTCCAATTGACAAGTAAAAGATTCCGGCATTAGACAGAGTAAAATAATAAAGTAGAACACATTGGGGTGCAAGACAACATGTTTTAGTAATATCTGTTTTAAATTATTTTAATATTCCAAACAAACAATACAGGCGTACAAACCTTTCTTACAAAAGGACCGCAGAATTGATAACTCCCATAAGCACTTCTGAAAACTTTGTCTTTCTTGTTTCTGTAAGAGAATACACCCCCCAATAAGAAGCAATAATAGAAACAATTTATTGAGAAATTGTACAATTTTCTCAATGTATTCTTCGACATGGGAGGAGGCAGTATCAATTTATATATATATATATATATATATATATATATATATATATATATATATATATATATATATATATATATATATATATATATATATATATATATATGTCTGGTTCGAGAAAGCGAGATTTTAGTTTGTTTGGAGAAGGATATGACGATGAATTTGAAGTTGAAAAGACCAATGATTGGGATTGCGACTGTCTAGATTTGGAAGACGATGGGCTGGATGGAATACTTTCCCAGTCATTGGATTTGTTTGTAGAGCGGAGAATTTCACTGGAAAGGCCAAATCAGATAGACAGTGTCAGTGAGCGGCGATGTAATGCACCTGGGAAAAGCACGTTGGATAGAAAAGGTGAAAATTGTCTTAGCTAAGTTTTGTTTAAAAGTTAGTAACAAGCATTAATCATAGCGTTTAATATTTAACAATTATTCGCCGAAGGCGAAGTGATTACCGGTGAATATTCACCGAGACGAAGTCGAGGTGAATATTCACCGTAATCACTGAGCCTGAGGCGAATAATTGTTTTAGTATAAATTTTTAATGAATAAAACAAAATATCCAAGATATCCAACTATAAGTTTAATTAAAATTCAGAAATAAAACTGTTTTCGACCGGTTTACGGTTTAGTGTTGCAGTGTTTCTTGTACACGCACGCTTTCAAAATGGCTTCCTGTGCGACTTTATTGCTTTATTACAAAGTTATTTTTCTCGATTTCTGCTGAGAATATAAACACAATGATGGAATGAATTTTTTACCAGACTTAGAATTAAAAAATAGTTTCTGTTTAGCATTAATTTGTTCAGGAAATGGCTGAGAAATTTGGTAAAATGAAATGTAAAACTATATCGTTCGAATTAATATAAAAGTTTTAATAAACTTTTCACTTTACAAGTTTTAAAAACACAAATAGTACAATACAGCCAAAGGACACCATACAGCACAATGAAAACACGACATAGTCAAAAGAAATAGTATCGTACAAATTGAGATATTTATAGAATACAAAACAAAATTGTTTTAAAAGGAATATCACGGCTTTTCCCAAAAGTCGGGATATTTTTTGCTATTTCAGATTTACGTTTGAAGCGAACGTTTCGGAGTTTTAAATAAGTTTTAAATTGTCCGTGAATATGTTTGACACAGTAATATAATACTAAATCCTACCTTTCAAGTTAAATACAACATTTTGTGCTTTTTTTCTTTTTCTGGGACGATTTTTTCAATATTTTGTCAATTTTGAAACCAAATTTGCCGAATCATTCTTTTTGAAAAGCATTATTTACAACCCAGGTGGTAAATAATGCCTCAGATTTACTAGTCAACTAGCCAATCAGAACGCGCGAAAGCTCATTTGATATGCAAGATTTATACTAATATGATATAATATATAGAATACAGTATGATAATAGTAATAAGAATACAGTAAGTGCAAAATAGCAATCTTAATGTACTTAATTAGACCGTAATACAACTTGGTATTAATTGTTATCATGACATGGTAAAGCATGTTAACTAATGCGGGAAAAATTGATTGTAAAAAAATATCATTGGAGATATTAAGAAACTACATGTGATTAGCCCGAACTCTTTATTGAAGCTAGATTAATTTAAGATATTAAGAACATGCCATCATGTCCAATAAATTGTGCAATAAAAATGTTATAATGAATTTCTCTTTTATCGCAGGTATCTCATCCTTTTAGCATTTTTTATGGTACATGGGTGTTTTGGTGTCCTGCCAAACTACACCTCAGCACTACCACATGTAGGATATTTAGCATATATTATATTATGGAATGTTGTGGAAGCACCATGTGGAAGCACCATGTAAATATAAAGAATGGCAAGCGGCCATTTTGTATTCTAAATATATACTTGGTTAGTGTGGTTGTAATCAGTTGTATTGTCGTTCAATCCGTATTTGTTAGATTCTACAATTGTCTTAAGTTGAACTATAGTTTTAAACGAAAATGATTTCGGAGGATTTCGACCGTTTGTTGAAACGGAGGATTTCGAAACGGAGGATTTCGACCGTTTGTTGTGAACAGTGATCCGAACAGTGTTGGGTCTGAATGGAAACGATGGCTTCGCAGTTTTCAGTTATATGCTGACGGTAAAGGACTTATTATTGAGGCTGGAAAAGATGACAATAAGGGACAGCGACGAGCACTTCTACTTCATTGTGCTGGATTGGATGTCCAGGATATTTTCGATGTTTTGCCTGAGACGGGGAACCCAAAAGAATACGAGAAGGCCGAAGAAGCTTTAACCAGACATTTTGTCACCCAAGTCAACGTTCCGTATGAGCGACACATGTTCAGAGAAATGGCACAGAATGAAAACGAAACGATTGATCAGTTTGCTATACGCTTGCGACGTAAAGCTCAGCAGTGTGATTATGGAGATTAAATGGAGTCTCAGATCAGGGATCAAATTATTTCCAGGTGTCGGTCGAGTGATCTGCGAAGGAAGTTTCTGGAGAAGGGTCAGACGCTTAACCTTAAACAATTACAAGAAATAGCAAGAACGTCTGAAGCTGTGAAAAGACAAGTAAAGAGAATGAATGTTCATAATGATGGAGTGAACCGAGTTTCTGAAAAGCCTGGTCGACAAGACAGACATGAAAGTAAAGGTGAGAAAGGTGGAAAAGTTACGAAGAGTGGTCAATGTTTTCGATGCGGAAAACCAGGACATTTTGCCAGAGATCCCAGATGCCCTGCAAAGGGAAAGGAAGTTCCAAGTGCCACCAGAAAGGTCATTTTGCTGTGGTATGCAAAACCAAAAGTAAAGATCATGGCAAACCAAGAGATATTATATTAAATTTGAATATCTGCAACTAATATAACGATATTTGATAATGATATTTAATGGTCAACTTATTTGCTTCGAAATAAATAAATTAGAACTATATCTTGCATGATTTTGAACAGTGCTCCCCATTTTCCTAAAGAATTCAGAGAGATAGTCAAGGAATTTAAGACAGGTTTGTGGAGCACTGATCTTAATTTAGCAATAATGACCTAAATAAGATTTTAAAATGAATGAATGCATCTATCCAAGTAATGCAAACCACTTTGTGTATTCGAAAACAAAAATGTTTGCATCCTTGGCAAATGATTAGGAAATATCAAGGGAACACTGTTTGTAATTTTGCGTTGCTGCGCCATTGGAGTCACGCTGTGAAGATGAGTAATTGTACTTAGCATTTAATCTACTTGTTGACAGCAAGCTAATTGCCTATTTGAGAAAATGGCTACACCTATTTTGATCTATACTGCCCTTACTCTGCCTTGAATTACTATATATAACGGTAAAAGATAGAACTCCTAGTATTTTATGCGATTTCCTCTTGCTTTAAGAACAGCATCTACTCGACTTGACAGGCTTGAAATAGTACGATAGATTACATCAGTTGACAGATTTTCCAAGGATTTTAAAACCGGCGCTGAAAAGTCTTGGAACGTTTCTTACGTTATATTATTTTCAATTGCTTCATTCTCGAGAATTTTCTTTACCAAGTGAAAGAGATTTTCAATCGGATTCAGGTCAGGCGATCTAGCCGGAATCTTGTGAAATTCAGCCTCGATTTTTTCCATTGAATTTCACGCTACTTTACTCGTTTGTGATGGGTCATTATCCATGAGAAACAGGCGACGATCGTTTTCTTACGTCCGCACTTTGCAAAACAAGTATTAAAATGCTTTCCAATTAACTATGCAAAGAAATTGCCATTCATTTTCTCATAGGGAACTTTGACAACCACACCTTTCACATAAGCTATAGCGACAATTACGATCGCTCGTCAACTTTTCTTGGGCGACCCTTAAGTTGTTGCCTTTTAACGGTTTAGATCTCAGCGCAGCTGATTGTTGGTCTTCCCTCTATATTCTTGCTACTGATAAAGGGCTTATATGACATTTTCTCGCGATCTTCTTATTCGAAAAACCCGATTCCTTTCTATAATAAAGTACCAAATCCGTTCTCTTTGCTGTGTTTTCTCTTGTGTAAATCATCCTTAAATGAATCTAATTATCGAAATGCATAATATTCAATTTTATTTTGTATTCATTTTTATATACACGGGATTATCATGATTCATAGTAACACCAACCCCCGCCCCCACATATGACGTCATAATTATCAACATTACGACGCGCACGCTAGGTTTTCAATCAACTCCCAACGAAATCATCTAGAACACGCCACCCAATATACGTAGAAAACACTTCTGAGTCAAAATTATATATGTACATAAATTTTAGTTTCATTTTCATATTCGGACAATCCCGGTCAAAAATATTGGCACACTTGACACTGACTGTGAGAAATTTGACTCCCACATCAATAACAAGCATAACAACCCCCCCTTCCCCCGTTCAATGTTGTGTGTAGTGTGTTATACGAACAAGGTGTTACACAACATTGATAAGGGGGATAGGGGGTGTTTGGACATGAAATTTTGCATAAAATGGGCAAGTATGTATATGGTAGTCAGAAATGAAGTAAAGGTTATGCTATTTCGACTAAGTGCGCCAAGGATTTTTGACCAGGATTGTCTGAATGTGCATTATCTTACAATTTTATTTTTATTTCATAAAAATACATTGGCCTTAATCCTTGAATCGTTAGTGAACCTTTAATAATGTTTTCCGTATTAATAACGTGCATCTAAATAAATAATAAACATTTATAATATAATAATAATAAAATATAATAATAATGAGATATTAAATTACGCTATTTGATACATGTATCCTTTTTTTGTATTTTCACTTTAATCGTACTTAATTTAACAACATTATGGGCGTGTGCACACTTTGAAAAATATAATCAGATGGAAACAAGTATTTAAGCCGTAATTTGTGGTCTTGTATATATTTCACAAGTTACATTTGACAACTGAATACCATGTGGACATTGCTTTGCTACTAAGTTTGTTTTAGATAACAAGTTATAATTAAAACGCATTAGTCATTGACGTAATAAGCACTTAATTACAGCCTATAATGTTTCACGCCCAGATATGCATAACATAAAGTCATATAGGTCCACACATTACTCCATCAAAAAATTCATTGTAAATCTATTAAATTTGAATATCTGCAACTAATATAACGATATTTGATAATGATATTTAATGGTCAACTTATTTGCTTCGAAATAAATAAATTAGAACTATATCTTGCATGATTTTGAACAGTGCTCCCCATTTTCCTAAAGAATTCAGAGAAATAGTCAAGGAATTTAAGACAGGTTTGTGGAGCACTGATCTTAATTTAGCAATAATGACCTAAATAAGATTTTAAAATGAATGAATGCATCTATCCAAGTAATGCAAACCACTTTGTGTATTCGAAAACAAAAATGTTTGCATCCTTGGCAAATGATTAGGAAATATCAAGGGAACACTGTTTGTAATTTTGCGTTGCTGCGCCATTGGAGTCACGCTGTGAAGATGAGTAATTGTACTTAGCATTTAATCTACTTGTTGACAGCAAGCTAATTGCCTATTTGAGAAAATGGCTACACCTATTTTGATCTATACTGCCCTTACTCTGCCTTGAATTACTATATATAACGGTAAAAGATAGAACTCCTAGTATTTTATGCGATTTCCTCTTGCTTTAAGAACAGCATCTACTCGACTTGACAGGCTTGAAATAGTACGATAGATTACATCAGTTGACAGATTTTCCAAGGACTTTAAAACCCGCGCTGAAAAGTCTTGGAACGTTTCTTACGTTATATTATTTTCAATTGCTTCATTCTCGAGAATTTTCTTTACCAAGTGAAAGAGATTTTCAATCGGATTCAGGTCAGGCGATCTAGCCGGAATCTTGTGAAATTCAGCCTCGATTTTTTCCATTGAATTTCACGCTACTTTACTCGTTTGTGATGGGTCATTATCCATGAGAAACAGGCGACGATCGTTTTCTTACGTCCGCACTTTGCAAAACAAGTATTAAAATGCTTTCCAATTAACTCTGCAAAGAAATTGCCATTCATTTTCTCATAGGGAACTTTGAGAACCACACCTTTCACATAAGCTATAGCGACAATTACGATCGCTCGTCAACTTTTCTTGGGCGACCCTTAAGTTGTTGCCTTTTAACGGTTTAGATCTCAGCGCAGCTGATTGTTGGTCTTCCCTCTATATTCTTGCTACTGATAAAGGGCTTATATGACATTTTCTCGCGATCTTCTTATTCAAAAACCCCGATTCCTTTCTATAATAAAGTGCCAAAACCGTTGTCTCGCAACTGTTGCGGAGCCAATGAGACGATTGACGAAGCGAATAGTACCATTTCTTTTTTGTCCTGAGCAGCTAGAATCGTTTATAGAACTGAAACGTAGGCTTGGCCAAGCGGAAACCTTGAGTTTTTTCGATCGAGACGCGAAGACCAAGATTGTTTGTGACGCAAGTCCAGTTGGGCTAGGGGCAATTTTACTACAAGAGCACAAAGGAGAGGATCGAGTCATTTGTTATGCCAGCAGAGGTCTTACCGAGGTCGAAGGACGATACTCGCAGACTGAACAAGAGCCCTTAGCAGTGGTGTGGTCGTGCGAAAGGTTCTACTTCTACGGAAGACAGTTTGAACTGTGAACTGACCATAAACCTTTAGAATGTATCTATTCAGCTCGCTCTAAACCACCAGCGAGGATCGAGAGATGAGTTTTGAGATTGCAACCGTATTCGTTTACAGCGAAATACCTGCCGTGGCATTTAAATGTTGCAGATTCGTTGTCACGTTTGACAAAGATCGTAGAGATGAAGTCCAGAAGTATAGCTGAAGATTATGTCAGTTTTGTTGCAAAGACTGCAATTCCAAGAGCCATGAATTCCAGAGAAATTGAAGAAGCATCTTCTTGCGATGAAGAATTAATGACTGTTCGTCAATGTATTGAGACAGGATTTTGGGACAGTCCCAAGTGCGACAGTTACAAGTCAGTTCGTGATGAACTTTGTATTGTTGGAAAGATTGTCTTGAGAGGTACACGGATGGTCATACCACCAAAACTACGACCAAGAGTGATTGAATTAGGCCACGAGGGCCATCAAGGGATTCTCAAGATGAAACAACGACTGCGTACGAAAGTCTGGTGGCCGGGAATTGACCAAGAAGCGGAAAAGTTCTGCAAAAGTGTCATGGATGTCAAGCTGTGAGTAGACCTATTAATCCAGAACCATTGCGAATGGCAGAATTACCCCAGGGACCATGGCAAGATATCGCTATAGATTTCATGGGTCCATTGCCGTCGGGAGATTATGTATTTGTTGCAACCGATTGCTACAGTCGATACGTAGAGGTGACTATTGCGAAAAGAAATACAGCTGAATTTGCGATTAAAAGTTTGGAAAACATGTTTGCAGCCCATGGACTACCGTGGACAGTGACAAGTGATAATGGTCCTCATTTCGTTGCAGAGACGTTCGAATCATTCCTGCAAGAGAATGGAATTGAACATCGGAAGACAACGCCGTTGTGGCCCCAAGCAAACGGTAAGATCGAACGCCAGAACAGATCTCTACTCAAGAGGATGCAAATAGCAAGAGTGGAAGGACAAGATTGGAGGAAAGCAGTGCAAACGTACCTGATTGCTTATCGAAATACACCTCATCCAACGACAGGGATGTGTCCTGCTGAATTGATGTTCAGAAGAAAACTGAGAACTAAACTTGGATGAAGAAATGCGAGACAAAGACAGAGAGAAGAAGGAGAAAATGAAAGGTTATGCTGACAAAAGAAGGAATGCCAAGGAGAGCAATTTATCTGAAGGAGACAAAGTGTTGTTGAAACAGTAGCGCATCAACAAGTGGACAACAGCGTTTGAAAGTCAACCGTATCAAGTAATTGATAAACACGCGAACAGTGTATTGGTCGAGTCACCCGAAGGTGTTCAGTATAAAAGCAACATAACTTATGTTAAACCGTTCCAGGAAAGAGAAAGTGGTTCAGAGGAAATCGAAATATCAACGACAGTACCTGAAGTACCTCCAGAAGAAAGTGTTCTACAGCAAGCGAAGGGAGAAACATCATCTGCAGGGGAAACATCATCGCAAGGTGGTCGTGATGGGCGAGTGCCAAATGGGGACTCTAACCAAACAGCAGAAAGTGTGCCATTCAAATCCCAAGACCTGTGCGTACCAGACGTGCGCCAAAAAGATATGGAGATTATGTTATGAAATAAACATTTGGTTTACAAAAGTCGAACGTTTGACAAACAGGTTGTATTTAGAACGTTTAATTAACTAAAATTTAGAAACATTATAGGTAGTATTTAGTATATTATAGTGAACTTTTTAAAAAACTCTTAAAAACATTGGAAAAAGAAAGGGATGTAGGATATTTAGCATATATTATATTATGGAATGTTGTGGAAGCACCATGTGGAAGCACCATGTAAATATAAAGAATGGCAAGCGGCCATTTTGTATTCTAAAATATATACTTGGTTAGTGTGGTTGTAATCAGTTGTATTGTGGTTCAATCCGTATTTGTTAGATTCTACAGTTTGTTTTTGGTTTATGAATTATTAATGAGTTTGAGAATTAATTTTAATGTCAACCAATTTTACGATCGTCGAAAAACTTGAATGAAAAAGGTGAATGCAGGTATAGCCCAAATATCACATATAACTATAGTTCGCCAGATCATCGCGTGCACCTGCCAATCCTCAGCATATGGCCAAGTTACTTCTGAATCTCTTTGAACAATACCGCGTTTTCAGACACTGTTTTCCAGTGACTATATGATTATTTCGACGAATTTTACCTACTGGTACGTGCCGGTGTCTATTTTATCTTTTAAATAAATATTAAAACAATTATTTAATGAGATTTTTGCATGAAATATCAAGGCCTCAGTTTATGTCATCAAACTCGTGCTTCGGCTTTGGCCTTGATAACTCTTTATATCAAGCTCAACCTCATTCTAAAAAGTTTCAGAGATATTCAAGATCTTTTCCGAATAGAACGAGATGAATAAGATAAAGCTTTAGACGATATTTTGTTAATATAATAATATGACGGTCTATCAGATACCTTGTTAAAAGATTGTGTATATAGTACGGATTTCAACGGTGTTCCATATTTAGAGGCGTTAAAATTGTGTATGTTTTCAAGCAATTGGCAAATTTTTTTTTTATAACGCAAAAAAAGTTACTTTTAGGCTTGGGCGATATTTCGATATTTTGATATATCGTGATATTTTCAATCGCAATTATCGTATCGAAGGTAGAAACTTGAGTGACGATATATCGAAATTATCGTCATGCTCGCTGACTGTCGTGACATTGCTTCGCATGTGTATATAGCTTTTACAGAAATCCAAAAAAATCCTTCAATTTCTAGAAAATATGGATTTAAAAGAATTAAAACTATTTCCTGAATTAAATACGAGTTTAATACGATATATATTAGTTAATTCCTGGTGTTACGTTCACCAATATACCATTTTAACTTTTATACATCCTAATAATCCCTACATAGCACTGGTAATTTAATACTCCTTGGTAAACTAGTAATCCCTTGTAAATTGTAATCTAGTAATCCTTGGTAATCTAGTAATCCTTGGTAATCCAGTAATCATTGGTAAGTTAGTAAGCCTTGGTATATCTAGTAATCCATGGTAATCTAGTAGTCGTTTGTAAGTTAGTAGCCTTGGTAAGGTAGCAAGCCTTGGTAAGTTAGTAAGCCTTGGTAAGTTAGTGAGCCGCTGAACAATGAAATTGCATGCTATGCTTGCGCTGTGTGCCCATGGCATTTGTGTAGTACACTGGATAGACAGTTCAGGTGTATGAACAGTAAATATTAGACTAGAAAAAGCCTTCATATTACTTTAATTTGTTGTTCTACTTGTTTTTAATAAGATTATATATAAGCTTAATATGCTTTGATATTAATTAATTAAAATTGAAAAATGTGGTTATTGTTTTTGTTTCAGTTATCGCAATATTATCGAA